TCGGTGATACCTGCCAGGTCCGCTCCCCCCTCTTGGATCAGCTCTTGAATGAGGGGGGCCTTATTTACTACGGACCTGGCGTTGCACAACATCAGCCGATGGTCCCGGGCCCGAGGATCTGAGGTCCCAGGGAGTCGAGTAGAGCCCTGAGGATCGGAGCATCCACAAGCTTGTAAGCAGCGTGTGCGTGCTCCCAAAATCCGATATGGTCCTCTGCTCCCGCCATACCTGCCCCTCCCACTGACCGTACTAATCACACCACCCTCTATTAATCCCCCAGTCTCCTCCCTCACCATTCCGCGCCCCCCAGACTGGACTGGCCCCGGCCTCAGAGAGGGCTCCCCCAAGTCCCCTCGGGCCAACCCTGAACCCCCTAAAAACCCCAAACCCCTTAAAAAAATTTTAAAACACCCCTTTAAAAATACCCTCAATTTCAACTTCTTTAGGTCTCTTTTTTTGGCTGCATACCACCTCTCGGGGCTCCATACCCCGTCATCGAGGCAGGCTCCTAAGATTAAACTAGGCCATACCTGCGCGAGGGGGGAATCGCACAGGGCCAGCAGCTCTGACCTGAGGTACATCCCAGTCCGTTCACAGAGTCCAGAGTCCAGAGTCCCACAGCAGAAAAGCCAAGACAGGGGGGAAAACAGTCCTCCTGGATGTTGGTTTAGTTCAGGGGGCTGAGACAAATGGAAGGCGGGGCAAGGAGTGGCAGCAGTAGATGTCCTTGTCGTTCGTCCTGACAGTGGGGTGGGGTAGTATGAATGGTGGGAATGATGGTATGGGTGGGGATGGTGGAATGGGCAATGGCGGGGGAGGGCAAGAGCAGACTAAACAGCCCCTCCCCCCACCAACCCCCACCTCACCATTATCAATGATAAAAGATAACTACAGAACATTACTTAATCAAATAAAATTAGATCTATAAAAATGGAAAAACTTACAACTCTCAGTATTAGGAAGAATAGCTACTGTGAAAATGAAGAGTTTATCAAAACTGCTCTTCTTGTTCCAAACAGCACCTATAAAAATAGAGAAGAATTTCTTTGATGATTTCAATACTTTGATTTTGAAATTTATTTGCCAAGGAGGAAAGCCAGAATTAAACTGAAAATGCTACAAGAATCCAAAGAAAATGGAGGATATGGATTACCAGATTGGGTCTTATATTATCAAGCATGGGTCTTAATATGGCTAAAAGAATGGATCTCTCTCAGATATAAAAGACTGTTATATCTAGAAGAACATGATACCGAAGGGAAATAAAAAACTAAACAAGAGCTTTTAGACCAGGATACTGAATTACAAAAATTATAGCTAAAAACATTACATCTAAGCAAACTGAATAATCATGGTGGCCTCAGTTGCAAATGTAATCGAGCTATGATAAATATGCGAAAATATATGTTTTTTTATAAAAAACAGACAATGTTTGATCAGATATTGTTGACCTCTGATAAAAAACTGATTAAGAAACTATATAACTTTCTATTAAATCCAAAAATGGAGGATGAACAAGTGAAAGAAACAATGCTACAGTAGGCAGAAAACTTTGGATATAATATAAAATTAGAGAAATGGCAAAATGTTTGGGAAAGAAATTGTAAAGTGACCGTGGCAATTTCTTATAAAGAAAACTGATATAAAATGTTCTATAGATGGCACTTGCCACCTGCTAGATTAGCAAAAATGCTTAAAAATATGTCCAGTAAATGTTGGAAATGTAATCAAAGAATGTAACTTGTATTATTAAGAATGTAACTTGTATTATTAAGCAAACAAATTGGCCCAGACAACACGATGTTTATTAATCGCTAATCAAATATAATAATAGAAAATTAGAGTTGGAAGGGACCTTGGAGGCAGGAGACCCTATTACTATTCCTGAAAATGGCTGTCCGGTCTCCTCTTAAAAACCTCCAGGGATGCAGCACTCCCAACGTCTGGAGGGAAGACCATTCCCAAAGAATCAACCTTCCCTTGAAGGAGACTTTTGAAATCTTCCCACGAGCAGAAAATCGCAGCCCCCAGTTTAACAGCCTGCAGCATCAGTGGACTTAAAAGTTGGGGAGGGAAGGAAAATGCAGCAGCAGCAGCTGAGATGCTTCAGCCCAGTTGCTTCTCTGCTTGGACGCCCTGGAGGAAACCAAACAGCCCCGGCTTCTCCTCCGACCTGCCCTCCACTCACCTTCCAGCTGCTGCTTCAATCTGGGAAGAGCACAAAATCCTCCCTACACACCATCTTCCTCCGGTTAGTGATCAAGAAGAGGAAGTTCCTGGGCGCTTCCCCTCCTTTCTAGCAATATAGTACTCGATGGTTTTAACTCCTTTAAATTCAACCACAGATGCCGCCTTCTGTATTGTCCGCTTGCTAAGCACAGATGTTGCCTGTTTGACCGTGGATAGGAGGCGAAAAAACAAGCTTGTCTCGTCTCTGCCTAAGGCGTTTGCACGATTTCCCCCGTTTAAAAGCTATCAAGTCGTTTCTGACTTCTAGCAACTGACCTTTGCAACAGAGCCTAGTGAAATATGATGCTAGTTAGATTAGAAGATTAGCTATCTGCTGAGCTCCAAATGTTTGTGACGGTTTTACACAATTATACAACCAGCTTTCCTAGGGGTGACTCTAGGGGAGATCAAAAGCTCTCTATACCTGAAATCTTTATGACATTTAATGTGGCTCCCAAGGTTTTAGGACATAGCAGCAACATCAGCCCAGATGCTCCAGGGGAGCCAACTTCACTCCTGCTGGCCAGGGCTGCATCCAAGAGCACCCAGCATACCATTCGTGAAGGAGGACAACCTATATCTGCTAAATGCTAAATGCCATGTAGTTCTGTAAATTTTCTTGCACAGAAGTCTCCATTAGGTCACAGAGAGAAAAATATGCAGCAGGGCCTCGAAAATGGGGGCTAAGAAAGAGGGGGCGATTGGAATCTGTAATAAAAGAAGCGCAAGGTATATTTTATTGATTCCCTTTTCATTCCGGAATTAAAGATGGCATACAAAGAACTTCCTGTGTAGCGTGCTGTAATTTATGGCGTAAATGTCCCGTCCCCAGACAGCCTGCCAACCTACCTACCATGTGATCCACTAGAAAAAAAATGTATCCAGTCCTCTGAATTGTGTTAGTGAAATGAACAAATGTACAATTCTTTGGTTTCTTCTAAATTCAGGATCATTTATCTGCAGACTTTAAATATCAGTTCATTGCTCCAAATATTGTTTCTCGCTTTACTTGTAGGCATTCCTTGGAAAACCTTAAAGAAAATTTGACTTTCT